GTGCATGAGATACTTTGTGTGGGCGCAGACACACATTCGGTAGGGCGGACGAAAACCAAGGTGACAAACGAAAACTGGGACAATATTTTGATGAAAAGTCGTCAAAAACCAGGGCAAACAAAAACCAAGGTTCCACTGTACTGTATATTCCTCAGTACTGAGCTGAGGATCAGGAATCACATTGATAAAAGCCAATAATGAGCAAGAAAGCATGCACCAGTGCAATTAAAGACAACGAAGTTAGAAAATTAGTAATACTGTCTATTGTGAATAACTCTTGTTTTATTTAAAACCAACTGACAATAACACATTCCAATAAAAAAAGTATTGTAGTTAACATATAAGTATAGCAACAATTTTCTCACGTTAAAACTCACTCAAGTCATTGTAGAATCCCTCTTCTTTGATTCATTTTTAGAATTTTAGAAGAGCTAATGTTGTAGTAGTATATACAGTTAGTAGGAGTTAGTTACTAATGAATAAACTCTAGTGAAAGTTACATTTTTATAAAGTATTAACCCGAGCCAGCATTAGTCAGGCTATGAGGTGCTATTGACTGTGAGGGCACCAGTCATGTTTATGAAGTTATTGCTATTATTACAAATTTAATATACCATTTGCCATGAACCATGCAGAGATGGTTAAAGAATATATAATTATTGCACTGTTACTTTTTTACCATTGCCACTGAGAAATTACTAAGGTTGTCTTAATTACTCGGGACTACATTATCATTAAAAATTATAAAATTATCTATGTAATACTATATACTATTTTAACTAGGAAATTAAAAGAAAAATTGTACATTTGTGCACATACCTATACAGTTATACAGTATTATGTTTGTATCTATGGGGTAAGAACCATTATTTGTTTTTTTGAGTTAAGCCTTTATAATATTGTGTTAGAGTATATGTTCCTCAATGCCAGGGCTTAATATCAAAGGGTTATTTATATAGAACTGAGTTATTAATGCATTCATTTGAATAAAATAGTATTTCAGAAAATTAGGTGGCTCTGATTGAAGCATTAACACCATAATAGCCAAGGATTTTAATGGTTACTGAAATAAATTTTTTTATGAACATGGCTAAAAATTGAAAGAAATATATATGCACATACGTACATTTACGAATGATATACACACACACATACATACGTGCTTAATTGCACTGAAGATTTATTTACCTAACAAACATCCTCACAAGACAAATTTTTTTTTATTCAGTTTGATGGTACAAGTTTGAATAATTATATTATGATATATACTATATAGTGTTCCAGTGTTTAAAAGGATGAATTTTGGAAATATACTTTTGAAAAAATCTTAGTTGATCATATGGTAAGAGAAAAGGTGTCATCTTGCTATTCAAAACTGAAAATTAATTAAATGTAGAATATTGCATAAATTAAAATTGTGAGAATTGGTAAATAATAAAACTGGAAATCAAGTATATACATTATACAGAGTATGAAAATATTTACAAGTGAAAAAATCTTATTGAAGAAGTCATTTAAATTACTTATATTCTCACTTCTAGAATATTGCTCTGTACTCACAGCTCCATTCATGGCAGGAGAGATATCAAAGCTGGAAAATGTAGAGAGATCATTAAGAACTTGCACAGTCAATAAAGCATTATACTACTGGGAACACTTCAAAGTATGGTAGCTCAAGAAGAGAGAGATATATCTAATAATTTATATACAGAAGATAATGGAGGGCAAAGTTCCTCCAGTAGCAGTGTATTTACTGCTGTAACAACTTAGGAAATTCAACACCTTACTGGATGAGAGATATTGGGAGGAAATTCAACACATTACCAGATGAGAGATACTGGGAGGCGATTCAACACCATACTAGACGAATATTAGAGGAAATGTAAAATAGTATACTTGAAGAGTGGAGGTGCATGAGCATAATAAGAGAACACTGTGTCAAAAATTCATGGCACAAGATTATTCAACCTGCTACGAGCTGTGATGGATTATGTGGGTCAGCAGGCTGCTAATAGCATTGCCCTGGTTCAACAGATTATCAACAAGAATGCCTGGCATCAGGCCAAGCTCCGAGGGTCAGCAGAAACTAAAAATTACTATAACCCTACAAAGAGGTTTAAATACAGTAAATTAATCAAATGGAGCAAAAAACTGATGGAATAATGTAAATAAATGTTATGTAATGAATATTAATGCAGCAAAACCAGACCTAATGAAGAATATATATTGTGTGGTGACATTCTAATTGGGAAGGTCTTGATTATGACCACAGAAAAGGGAGAAAATCTTATGCATTGCTGACAACCTTGAGGATAACATTCAGAGAGAAAGCTATTCAGACTATACTAGTAACATAAGTTTAATGAACTAGGATAGCTCAAGAAAGCTAAGCAGTGGCTTATTTCCACTGGGGTCCTGAGTTCCTCTTCCCCAGTACATGTATGTGTAAGCCATTGGGGTTCTTAGGTCCTCCCTAGAATTTGGCCCATAACAGAAGACCAGGGTCTGGGCAAGGACTGTTCTGTGAGGACACTGATCCTCGGAATGCACTCCAGGTGGGTAGACTTCCAATAGAAAGAATCCATATTAATTAATTTGCTGTCTTAGATATGCTTTGTGTTGATGGAGAAGCACTAAAAAAATTATTGACATTTGTTATGAATAAATAAGCATGTGCATCTGTATACTGCTTAATATAAAATTTCCCAGACATGCAGCTGAAGCATTTTTATCCTAGAATTCAAAAAGTAGTAATTAGTTACGAAAAAAGTAAAAAACCTAAGAAATGCCATTACATGGTAAGACATCAAAGAAAGAATAAAATAATTCAATAGGTTTAGATACTTTTGTAAATGAGAACAGATAGAAAAATTATGCTGTTAGACCAAAAGCATTAGTATTTAAAAAGAAAAAGACACCAATTACGAGTTATAAAAGTGGTATTATAGGAAAAAGAAATTGAAATACTTACTAAAAATGAAGGTAAATACCTGAATGAGGTTTGAAGAAGGAGGTAGCAATGTGCACAACAATCAAAACTAAGAATATTACATGAATGAGTTTAACAAAGATAGGACACCAATACTAGTTAGCATAAAGGGCTGTGATTCCATTTATTTATTACTTTCATTGCTAATACTAGGTACAAGGAGGGTCCTTCATTTCGCTCCCCTTTTTGGTGTCCCAACTTATTCAGCTGTTGTCAAATGAACCAGCTCATGTAGTTTAGTGCTTTTCCTTTCTTTTTCACATTTTTATGCACATTGCATACAGGAAAGGCATTTTCGCATCCCATAATTTAGGTATGTAGCTCACCCTGCCCTTGTGAGACATGGCCGATCATTGAAAACAAAACATCATGTTTGTGCTGTTATTTATTTTACTTATGTATTTTTTATGCCTACCTGTAATGAGCACTTGAATGATGATTAACACATTCAGGCCATGTTTAGATGAGTCAATATTGAAAAAAAATGCTTTTCCACTCGCCAGTATTATTTTTTGTTTAGTGTGGGTTTGGAATCTAACACCATGAAAATGGGCCACTCTGTATACTGTATGACCCTACAGGATGTAAGCCTCAACAGGTGAAAAGCTCCCAGGTACAGTACCTAATTAGTGACAGGGTAAGCACTGACAGGAATGTAAAGATAAAAGGCCATACGATCTGACCTGCCCAAGAATGAAACCACGATTTTTCATTTATGACCTGAATGCTCCCAGATGTGAAGCTAACCTCAGTATTTACTACAGTAGGATATGGTACTCAAAATCCTAAAGAAAAAATAGCAATCAAATCTTGTGACAGCCAATGACATGAAACTTACAGTGCCCATGTCTGTAGTTAATGCCTGAATGCTCACACAGTGAGGTCTCAGTTTGATTCCCAGCGGGGAAGAAACACGTGTGTTACATTTACAACCGGATTTCTATGTACATCCATCAGTAAAATGGGTACCTGGGAGTTAAGTTTGACGGTGAGGGTTGCAATCCTGGGGAAAAACACTGGGTGTCCTAATTTTCCTGAAATGCTCTGCATAAAAGTGGCTTTCTATGTAGTAGTAGCTGTATAGTCCTTGTGGCTTAGCGCTTCTTTTTGATTATAATAATAATATGTAGTAGTATGTCACTGATGTCAGCTAGGCCTGTATACCATGTACATGTACTTGCCCAAAAACTCTGGAACCACAGACTCAACCACCATTTTCAAAACTACTGTTAAAAAAAATCTCGTCTCCCTAACACACCCCATCAACAGCTAACCAAATGAAAACCACCTAATTCTCTTTTTGTATCATGAACACATCAAAAAAATATAGTCTTACTCTCGTTATCTGTCATTCCCCCCCTAATTTACACTTACACCCACCCAAATGACTGTAAACATAAATTTCCTAATATAGCTATAGCCTATTAAATCTTAAGTTAGTCCTAAGTTTGCCTAAGATACTCTTCCAGTATGTGAGCTTTAATAGAAACTGTGTAGCATGCCAAGACAAATTCAATCCCATCACTAAATCTACTGTTTGTAATATTATATGATTTGTACTAACTATTTTAAATCTAATTGTATATGTACCTAATTAGGTATGTATCTAATAATGTATGTTCAAATATACTGCTCCATAACCTATATCAATATAGAGTAAGAATTAGTATTAATCTTCCTGAAATGCCTAGGCATTCTAGTGGCCTTCTTTGTAATTAATATTTTATAACGTGTAAACCACGGTAAGCTTTACAAGGAAATAAAGATTTTGATTTTGATAGTAAATTAAAATATTATTATCATTATTATAATCACTGAAATTTTGGATGATCAAACTGTGAACTCTTTATCCTGCATATGCCTCTCAGGCTTCACATAAGTGGCAAATGGCATATTAATACATATAATTTGAGAATATTTAGGTGAAATGGCTTCCAAAACATGACTCAAGTGTTTGCAAATACGTAGTATGTGTTAGTATGTCTGAAGTTCCTCAGCTGATCGGGCTTACTTCACAGTCATTGGCAACAGCAACAGTTAGAAGTCTTTTTCTTTTCAGGCTGATCTTTGGAAACTTTTTCAGACTCTATCTTTTGAGACTTCTCGGCTCGTCTGGGAAGCTGCTGCAACAACCGCCATGTTAGTCATCACAATCTAGCAAACTTGATGAATCAAATACACTGATTAGGAATGGTTTATTGTGAGTTTTGGTCTTCCTGTGCTACCATTGGTGTCCAGGATTGTAATTAAATCTGACTTCATCTTCTGTTCCAAAGATGATTGTATGTAGACAAGACAGTTAAGACTGAGGGCATCATTATTTAAATGTTTTGTACAGCTTCCTCAAAAGTACCAATATGAATGTGCTGATACATCTCACCAACAGCTTCAGGCAAACTAAAATACACATGCATTACTACATTGCTACAAAACAAGCACTTACACATCTCTAGCTATGAAACCCTTTACATTCATCGTTGGCAATATTGAGAGGATATCTTCAAAAATTTTTAACAGTGTTGCCCTGAATACTTTTCCAAGATGGAACAGAGGATCAGATCTTGTCCAAGACCCTCCTGGAGCAGCACTAAACCTACTTCTGCCTAGCCTAGCTGCAGCAGAATAATGCCTTGGGGCCAACATGCACTACAGGCAGAACAGTGTGTAGATTAAGCTACAAGCAATACCACCTATCAAAACAACGCACATCACAGAACGGCATGCCGTCTAATCCACCTTCTGCAATGGAAATAAGCAGAAATATTTAGTCTTTGTTTTACAACTGCCATCTGCTTTGTTGAAGTTTATTAATGAAATGCATATTTATTTATAAGTGCTGGAACAGGAATTACTGAAGATGTGGTTAACAATAAAATTTTATAAAGCAGTGCAGTATTTAATTTATAAGTTAATAATGTATACAGTATATAAAAGTGAAGCATAAATTTAAAAGTTAATGATAAATATATAAAACTGAAGCATAAATGTGGCTGAAAGTGACAAGAGAGGCAGCATGCTATATCTACATATCCTCATTACTGATAATTTAATTGCAATAGAATTGCTTTAATAGATTTCTCATATATATACAGTACTATATATTTAATCAAGACTTGGAGAAAAAGGAGAAAAGCTTTATTCCCATAAGTTTTCATGTGAATTTAAGATTCATGCTCCATGAAGTACACATTGGTAAAGAAAGAAAAGTTAAGCTAAACTGGTCTTGTATGGATAACAAGAATAGATAAACTACAGTAAAGACTTAATGGTGTGCTACTATATTACTGCGTACTACTGTATCACATACTTATATTCAAGTACTGTGTACTACTGTATCTTGTACTTATATTCAAGTACTGTGTACTACTGTATCTTGTACTTATATTCAAGTACTGTGTACTACTGCATCTTGTACTTATATTCAAGTACTGTGTACTACTGTATCATGTACTTATATTCAAGTACTGTGTACTACTGTATCTTGCACTTATATTCATGCACTGTATACAGTATCATGTACTTACATTCAAGTACTGTGTACTACTGTATCTTGTACTGACATTCCAGTACTATGTACTACTGTACCATGTACTCATATTTCAGTACTGTGTACTGCTGTACCATATACTTACATTCAGGTTCAATTGTTGAGAAATTTTATATAGTTTTCAGCTGAAGGTACAACCCTATAACACTTAACTTACCATAAAATAAAATCAGACTCTTAACAATGAATAATTCAAGATTTTATTGATCATGGTGGTATTCCAGTACTGACACTACCGTTTAACTCACCATTTTTGTACTACTAAGTAACAATGTACTAATAATCAACTGTGTACTCTTAGCCATATCTTCTCTCAGTTTCCTCTGCTTGTCCCATTCATTCCAGTATTCTCCACGACTACGGTCACGCACCTACTACCTAGGTTGAGGGACGATTACCTCAATCTATCTGTACATAAGTTCTACTGTCTCATGTATGGTCCTAGGAATTTTATTGATAAATCCACTGGATGGCGAAACTCTACAAATAAAGATACCATAATGTTGCTAATGTTTTTCCCTTTAATCTCATCTTGTCGTATATTACCATTCTACACAACTTGTCCAGACACTGCTACATCATGGAATCCTTAATTCTGAGGGACATGTACATAACCTCACGACTACGACAATCTACTGTCTCAATATCCCAACTCTGTTTGGAAAGGACCACTCCACTGGGAAATCCCGCATACCAGTGGCAATTATCTCCTCGTTCTGCTACACCGACGTTTCATAAGCAGCCAGGATCCTTTTCTGCATTCATAGAATCTCCACGACTAGGTGCTCTTCGCACCTACTCCTAGTTGAGGACACTGATCACCTCATCTATCTTGTACATAGCTTTCACTGTCTTCAAGTATGTCCTAGAATTTTGTATTGATAAAGCCACTGGATGGCCGAAACGTTTTAACAATAAAGATACCCAAGTTTGCCAAATATGTGCCTATAATCTCATCTTGTCGGTATTATATACCATTCGTACATAGCTTTAGGTAGATGTCATTTAGATAAGGACCTGCCTCGTATGGGCCAGTAGGCCTTCTGCAGTGTTCCTACATTCTTATGTTCTTATAATGCTTGCCACTACTTCCCTTCCATCTCCAGTGTTTCATAACTACCTCCCCTACTTCACTGCACCCCTGCTGCTATGTGACCCATACAGGTTTAATGCTTAATATGCAGCAATAATCCATTTATTTCTCTAACCACATCATCTCCTTTCTTTCACCCCTTCCTTCTCCCTCCTTCCATCTTCCTTCTCCCTCCTACTATCTTCCCTCTTCCTCCTTCCATCTTCCTTCTCAGTCCTTCCTTCTCCCTCCGAGCAAACCTGAGGTCCTACCTCAACATAATATATACAATAAAGCAAAACTATCCTGGATATATAATTTGTGTTCTCAAGATGGGAGGTGTACTGGTTGCCCCATGGAAGACAGGTGCATGGGGCTGTGGTTCAGTGGGTCATTAGGGTCTCATGTTACTCTTCTGGAGTTACAGCTATGGAGTGACTGATAATGAACAAATTTTCTTTGATTAACCCATCAGTTCTATATGGCCCTTAAAGGTTATAATTACTGTATTATTATAATAATCATAATGAAGCACTAAACCTTTAAGGGCCATATAGAAGGTTTAGTGCTTCATTATGATTATTATAATACAGTAATTATAATTATTATTATTATCATTTAAGTCACCTTGTCTTGTTGGGAAATGACCAGTGTGCAAAAAAAATAGTGAAATGAAGCTTGATAATTTGCTGAAACAAGTTTTAATACCTATAGAATTATTACAAATAATTTAAGTAACTTATATTTAGTAAACAGTGCTTGAGAAAAACGGCAAATTTACTTTATAAAAGTATCTAATTTTGCAATATATTTAAGAAAGATACTGTATTTATTCATGGCAGCCTATGAGCTAGACCCATAGTAGATCAGTCTAAATTTTGAATGCTACTATCCCACTACCAGATGTTTCCTGCCTAGTTGTTCAGGCTTAATCTTGCCCAAAATGCTCTGCAAGCATTCAAGTGTCACCCTTTCCTGTATAAACAATATATCTAGTGGACCCCCATAAGATAAACTGGCATTATGCATTGAAATGAAGTATAATGCACATAGTTTTAAATGCCTATAATATTTCTATATACACTTAAACTAGTGTGTGCCTGTATGATTAAATCTAACATGTTGTAACTAACTAATTGAAAAACTGAGGTCAAATTATTAAAATGTAAACTTTTGTTTGAAAGAAGTTTGGTAACGTTATATGACATTAAAGTACCCAACATGCCAACACTGTAGAACGACCGGCTGTGGCTCGACGTTGGTTTGCGTGCACCAACAGTAACACCTGGTTGATCAGCCTGAGTCCAACCAGGAGGCCTAGTCACAGACGGGCCGCGGGGCGTTGACCCTAGGAACCCCCATGTAAACTCCAGTAAAAAATGTGTCTGCATTTTCAATGCAGGTAAAGTATCACCTAGATGTCATGCACATCAGCTTATTGCTGCGTAGCCTCACACAGACAAATAACCCGCCTTGCACACACACAGGTGTTGGTAATTCATAATAAAGTTCTGAAGAGGCATTATCTCAAACTACCATTCCAGATACAAAGCAGAGGGGAAAGGGAACCCTAAACCGTTTTTAAATTTTAAATCAGAGAGGAATCTGGAAACCTTAGGGGTCAAGGTAACCGGGAAATGAGATTTAATCGGGTTTGGCCAAAGTTGGAGGACAAATCTGGTCCTTCCTTAACCCAGTTGGGAAACTGTCCAAGCCCATTGCTTCGAAACGTCCATTTCTAATGTCCAAATTTTGGAAAAAAAAAAAAAAACATTATTGTTTCTCATGAAATGATAGAGAATCTTTTCCCGATGGTAATGACACCAAAAGTATGAAATTTGATAAAAAACTTAAGGAATTACACTCCCGTGAAGTTAGCGATCTCAGCAATATGTACGCATCGGCAATTTCGCCGACTCTGAGCCCTATTTTTGGCCAATTCCATTGTTCCAATCGACCAAACTCGTAGCTATTTCTTTAGAACTCCATTTTTTTCTATCAACTGAGTACAAGAAACTGTCCATTTACCAATTTCAACTACCCAATGGAATGGTCAGAAATTGGCAATTTGGGCAATTACAAGCAAATTAAAAAAGATGCCAGTTTCAAAATAGGGTCCAAAATAAACAATGCAGACATTCTTGGCACTAAAATAACATATCCTCTGTTCATTAGTCACGTCTCCAGGCCACTCTTATATTACTCTTGCTTTCTATTTTGATTTTTTATTCACACAAAAAATAGAAGATTTACCATTATGCAGACTACTGCATTATTGTAAAAATGGTATAAATAATATCAGTGCACTAGTGAAAGGATATTAGACTCCCCAGTTGATGTGTATTGGACATGTGGTGTGATTTGCTTACTCTTGAACATTGGTAAAAATCGAACATTGCCACTACTGTGAGCTCAATTTCAAGGTCATTTTCATCGTGAAACTAATCAAATCACCTCTATTTTTGTAACATGCTTTCCATTCTATCAAATGAGACCAAGAAAAC